TTCCGATCATAATTATCTCCAAGGATGATAAACCCTCACATGATTGGTATGAGATTATGTGTTACATGTATTAGGTTGATGCAAAAATACAGTTTCGCGAATTTTCCACTCTGACCTGCTATAACTTCCTAAAATAGCTACATTCCTAAAGGCGATACAGATAATCAAAAGCAGCAAACCTTTCAAGACAGCGCAAATTCATCTATACTCATATCATAAACGGGTGAAAAATATATTGGAAAACAAAAATAGTTTTCGTCTAAAACCTTGTCTTCAACAAATTATTACTCCCTTCGCACTTTGTTCATAAAAATGATGAGTTGTCTATCTTGTAGCCGTAAGCCAACAGAAAAAAGAATATGGAACGGGCTTGAACAAAGAATTACGAAAAGAAAAAATTGAAACTAAAATTGACAGTTTTTCAAAAAAAAATTTTAGCAAGCCTCAAAGTCCTGACTTTAGAACTTTCGGATTTCCCACGTAGTGAACGTTGCATGTTATTGAAAAACTGTCAACAGGATGCCCTATCCTTACGTTTACAGAAAAGGACGATTTTAACGACCGCATTCTTCGAAAGAAATTTATGGGTCATAGAATGACCGCAATGGCTATCCATGTTGAGGCGCCGATGTCTCTGCCTAAATAATTGCAAAAAAATAGTTAAGTGTGAATAATGTAGACAATTGCTTTTACATAAATCAACTAATTTTTCGAAGAACCGCCTTCATTCGCGCTTGAGTTCTGGTCAGAAAAGTGAATGCACTGAAATTTTGATTTCAGATACGGTTATTCGTAGCTCTGTAACTTTCTAGCAGATGAAGCTGGAAGCCCATTAACAACTCATAATTAGAGCATAAAAAGAGGTTCTCAAAGTTATGGCGCGTGTTTTCCCAAGAAAAAGTTTTCGTGAAAAAAATTCTCTTGAAGAAATTTTTGGATAAACCCATTATTTTTGCATCCACCTAATATAATAGTACCGATAGCTACTAATCACCTCTTGATATCCGTAAATTAGCAAACTTTATAAATATCTACTTAGGCTCCCCAAGTCCAAGTCGTTAGTTCACGTTTATATTCACGAAGAAAAGATGTACAATGCAACAACCACCTGCCAACTTCTTTGTCAAAAGCCAAGCAATCAAAGGACAATGAATCAAACTTTTGCGAGCCATGGTATGGTTCGTTGATCATCCTGCAAGCATCAGATTGATAGCTTTATTTTTTTTGTTTGAGAGGGAATCTCAAGGTTTTTGATTCTTATCCACTTGTTGGAGTTTTTTTGTTGATAAAATCTTATTTAGTCAGTGATTTCGGTATTTGTGACCGCTCAAATACCATTTTCAATACACCGTGGATGTCCTCACCTTTACGTTCGTAATTTCCAAGATAATATCTCAAATAAGGTGCTAAGATAAGTTGAAATAACTCATCAAAAGATAAAATGAGAACAGAGCATGGTCTCTCCTAAGAGAGGATAATTCTGGCAGCAATTTCCCAAATTTTCTCGTATCATTTCATTTTACAAGACCATGGTAACATGCCATAAATTACGTGTCAGATTTTCTCCATTTACTTCAAATGCAAGTTTAAACAGAGAATATCATTCATCACCATTCATACCATTTATCTCAATTCACAAATTCGTCTTTTCCTTGTTTTAAAATTGTTCCTGACACAATTTATGGAATACTTTTGCTTCTCAGGAGTTCCTAGAAGACACATATGTTGATAACAGGATAACATCATCCATCAATTTGCTCTCTAACAATACGATTTAAGCTTTCAAAGACTTTTCTATGGCATCTCAAAATTCATTTTTGATACTTCAACAAGTTTTTTATACTTCCTACTCTTCCAACTTCTTCAGCATTTAAGTTATAAATTTTAAGATTAAAAACTCAACGAAATTATTTATATGATGTTCTTAATGGTACATCGAAACAAACAATTATTGCACTCACATACAAGCTATAGGAGCATCAGAAAGTCATCTAGTGCTTCGACATAAGGGTTGCTTGGTGAGGTACTCGCTGGGTTGTGTTCTGTGAAGACGCTAATTAATCTCCATTCGTCCGTTGTCAATGAAGTTAGCCAGATGTAATAAAATGGAGGCCTGAAAAGTTGGAGCCTGTCAAGTTGGACAGGTAATTCAGCTCTAACTAAATGCATTAGAAACAAATTTTAAATTACTTGGTGAGCATACACATTGAGGGACAAATGTTTCAGGTTCATCAAGAAGTTCAGGATTGTAAATTCTGTCAGGCATATATCGAGTGCGAACAGCAATGACGATTCCTCCAGTTCGAAATTTGAGAGTAGTGCGAGTCTCTTAAATCTTCATCTTAAGAACGATTACTGAACCTGAGGCGATGCCGAAAACCGAGCGTCACACAACCGTTGGGTTCTTATCAAAGTTGCAGTATACATTTGTGAGTCAGCAAATTTCTCAAAAAATGTTACCATAGCTTGAAAATGGTCAGGAGATAATGTAAACTGGATTCCTCGCGGAGAATTTGCTTTCGAAGCTCCACTTGTCCACAATCCAGTCAAATAGCGCTAGCACATAAATCGACTTTCCGTTCTCTGAATGGTAATATTTTTTAATTACAGGCATAATGGTGAAAGATAAGCTACTTTCTACTGTGGAGAAATTGTTCAGATTTGATGAGAAGGTGAGATTCTTTTGGATTCAAAAAGCTTAACTAGCAGACAAGCCCTGAAATGTTTTGCTACATTACTACATTTTACCAACACGGACAACTGACCAGACTTCCGCAGAACGTTTGAGAAAGTTTGTTTTAAAGTTTCAAATAGCTTTGAAAGAAAAACTTTCATTTCCCGATTTTGTTTCACAACCGTAGCTTTGCTTGTCAATTTTATAGCGTTGTGCAATTTATTCCACTTTTCTGTCTGTTGTCCATATCAATCAAGGAACAGGAGTGGATTCAATGGATGACAGTAGCGGAATCACTGGTACATCCAGTCGGTTTGAAATGGCCTGGGAACTTAAGAGCCCAAACTCGGAAGGAATCCTTTCGGACAGTCTCTCAAGCACTATCGCACTCAGCTTCCTCAAAATAGCCCACATCTTCGTCCACGAAAATCAGTTGGATTTAAGAGTTCAAGTCCACATAGCAATCGTCTACAGACGCAGACCGTATTTACTCAAGCACTGAAAAAAATGCATAGTTTGCCGACTCCGTCATGCACCATTATAAGAGCAGACTAAGTGTAAACTTTAACCAGATTTTGATTTATATTTTTACTTAAAATGCATAAAATTACTTACGTTTGGTTTGTGTTTACTAATAAGAAAGCTGACGTAAATTAGTGAACAAGCTTCCAGTTCCTAACCTTTAATCTAGGTAATTGTACTGAGGACTATCTATTTACAAAGGCAAGGGCTGTGGATTCCAGGCTGCACATGAAAGCTACTAATCTCATAAGTTTGTCTCAGCTTTTCCTTCCAGCTTGAAGTCTTGTCATTTTTACATTTTTCTGTGAACTATGATTGGCTGATCTAGCAATATGTGGTACTCAGCAGAACAACTTTTTTAGCTGATGCTCCTGCAGATGTTTTGGCATGTATCCAGCTGATGATACTTCTCAGAATGAACGACACATGGTACTCGATGCAAAGGCTGTAGCGGCTTGGATTCTATGTAACTCTGCAATCAATAATATATTTGCTAAATTCTTGGAAATCAATTGGAATTCAATTTCACTTATTTACATGTTACTAGAAGAATAGAGACATAGAGAAAAGGATTATGGATGTAAAACATATGTAATCAACGTTTATTTGAATGAGAATGAATGAGAAATTTGAACAAAATATTTCTTTCCCTAATTTCAGGTTCCAAGGTGTAAGGAATCTTTATTATACTTCGCAGCTTATGCTCATGAAAAAACATTCAAACAAAAGTCAACAGATCTATGAAATTTGAGCTTTGACAAGGTATCGAACAACACCGGAAACAAATGACTCATAGGTGAGAGAAATTTTTCAGACACCTACGTTATGAGCATGACGTACGAAGCGTCTTTCATAACACATCTCTTGGAAGGAAAAAATATAGTGGGGTGCTTTCTCGCCCTTAACAATGGGGAAAGGAGCTTCCGGGCTTTTGAGCATGTGTACACCTAATTTTCACCTAATGGGTTTAGTAATTGATTACGTGCTGAGTATAGAAATACAAGAAGTTGTCTTAGCAGTTTAACTCAGAAAATTTTGAATATTTTATGGCAGCTGGCATGAAAGTTTTCGAAAATAGAAAAATCAAAGCCGAAAAGATTTTGGAGAGCAAACTTAAATAACATCTATGGAAATATTATGTCAAAGTACAGAAAAATTCACAAAAGGATCGATGTGTAAACGTGCTGCTACAAAAATGTGTACCCTGTGAAAGTAACAAAGCGGGAATTTCTAGAATTCTTAAGTTTTGAAGCTTTATTTACTCTAATTTTTGAGGTCGTGGATCCGCAGTCAAATATAATAGTATGACCCAAGATCTGAAAAAGATTTCAAAGGTGCTTACCAGCAAAATTTGTTCGAACTCTTGCGAATCTGCTTATTCTTTGAGGATTTTTCAATATGTCAATTTATTCCTATACAATCTTAAGGAGAAGCCTACCTTCCATGCACAGGTTAAAATTTTTTTGATGTTTTTTATTTCAAGTCAGGACGAAAGTTTCGGAGATGACAGAACATTCAACCAAAAGCACAGACTATGTCAAATCAGCGGCGACTGACGAAATTCGATCCAAACATTACAAGTACTCAAACACTATGCAAAAGAAAGCGAGCAAGCTCTCTTGTAGTTGCGAAAGAGCATTTACGTGGTCAAAAATAGCAAACCAGCTATGTTTACAATGTGGAAAAATCCCAATCAGCTGTCCACAGCATCGTCATTTTTCGTGAATCACTTGGCGCGGATGCGCTCTATTGTTCGGATTAGAGGGATGGACGAACGGGGGTGTGAAAATTTTTCCCGAAACCAATCGGGGCCGCCAGTGGGGCGTGGCCAGAGGTCTGACAGCCAATAGACAACACGGGAGGATAAAAGAAGCTTGGTGGAGTTGAGATCAACGTCAGTCTCTCAATCTCACACAATGGCCGCTCGTACCACTCCCGGAGGTATCGGATTCGCTGTCCGAGCAAAGGTAAGGATTCACCCATTCTCATTTCTATGCTTATTTTCTTTTCTGTGAAAGTGTTGGAAGTTTGCCAAATGACACTTAACCGAAGTTTTAGCAAGATTCCAAGTACAATGAGGATGAAGGAACGCTTCTACTCGCCTGGATCAAGGAACTTTCTGGAGAAAATATCAGTGTATCTGGAGATAGAGATAACTTCTTGAAGCTGCTCAAGGATGGAACCCTACTTTGCAAGTGAGTACGAATTTTGACGATTTTTGTTGTTGGCAGTTCTGAAATAAGGACTTTCAGTTTTTAAATGTTACTGGAAGCAAAGGCTCTTGTCAATTAACTTTTTTAAAGTTGGTAAAAAACCTTTTAATTTTTGATATAGAAAACAAAACAAAACATAGGCCTTATACGCAAATCTCGCTGTTCAATAAGGCATATAGGCTTTTACTTCATCTCTTACAGAGTTTCGAAGTAAGTGAAGAAAGTCAGTCTTTCCACTATTTTTTAAATCAAATAAATGAGCCGTTCACGGATATTAGAAATGTAAATATTGATGGAATTTCATTTCAAATCAAAAAAGAAGCACATTGAGAAATAAACGTAAACAGAAATCAAATTCTGGATACTAAGTCATACCAGTCAGAGATATTTTTCTAGAAAAAATTGAATGATATTTGCATTAAAATTACAGACAAAACTATAACGAAATTATAAAAGTCAAGTATGTCAATAATCAGATTGAGATTTGAAAAAAAAATTTTCTGTATTCGTATTTCTCGATGCTTTTGAAGGTCCCCAATTATTGCAACAATTAGAGAAACTACTACGTTACGACAAACATTCTAGGGCCAAACTTTTCCCCAAAACTACGAGGTTCTGGGTCTTTAGAAAATATGAGACTATGTTCAAATGTGTTACATCTGGTGTAACATCATGAAACCTTCCAGAGATAGCTGGCAATTGATAGTTTTTCTTAATAGTCTGAGACACAATAATTCTCAGCTGTTCCCAAGATTTTTCTACTTTGTCCTACAACGAACATAATCTTTTTGCATACTTTGAACACTAGGGCTATGGCTCGAACTTAGTGGCTATGGAGCCAACATTTGATGCTTTTTCACATTGACGTTTACTGCAATGGCGATAGACGGCTCGGCCATCTGTTGATGGTTACGTTGTAACAGAACAGCTTCTACTCTTTGTCGCGCTCTCTCAAGATAAATAACCTCAAACTGCAAGTATCGATGTCAAAAACAAAAATTGATAACTTTTCTTGCAGGGCCGCCAATGGTATCGAGGCTGGAATTGTGAAGAAGATTCAAAAACCGATCTCTAACTTCGCCTGCATGGAGAACATCAATGCCTTTGTTGAAGCTGCCAAGAAGGTTGGTGCTCAATTTTTCTGGTACTGTAGGTGTACTGTAATCATTATGTAGCAACTGGGCATCTGTTGGGATGTTTTGGAGAAGTTTCTAGATCGAACAGGTGCATTGGCAATATGTCTAGAGCTGAGCCTCTAGAACGCCAACGCAAACATTTTCGATTAGCTCGGCTGCGTCAGCTGTTGGCTTCTCGCACAGTGTAGGCGTCTCTATCCGAAAAGTTGGCAGTTTTGAGCGCTCGGCAAGCAGACGGGGCCCCGGGTCAGGGGTCAGAGTGCACAGTTGTTCGAAGAAGAATGTGGAGAAAAAGTTGGCTACTCTAGAGGGGTACTTGACACATGGACAGGGGAGAAAAAAACCGAGATAGGAAAAAAATGGTTTGCTTTCGCACAGTTTTTCTACTCGCAGCTTGCAATACATTGGCAGGCCGATGAAAGCTTAAGAGCGGTCACCCCGCTCTTGGGATGGCTTGCGAAATTTTTAAAAGTAGCCTAGACTTGTTTTTCTTCGTAAAATAGAACAAAAATGAATGAAAAATTTATTATAGATTCAAATCAGCCTTGTGAAAAAACCGGCCATGTAAAATTCTGTTAAGCGTCCCAAAATAACCCAAAGGGCATTACACCTTCTCATCAAGGCAAATTTCTGCCCCCCCCCCCCTCCCCTTCTCCACAAAAAAATATTCCATTCGCCATTGATAATAACTGTCGAAGATGCAGTATATCTCTAAAAGCACCACCTTCCATATATTACTCGTCTTACTCGCTACACTGACCCATAAACACCACCTCCTCATAATTCCGCAAGAATTTATATATTACAAATTTCCTAAGTCCCTACAGTACCCCCACAGTACACTAATTTGCATGTAGAAACTGTAGTAAGCAAATTCAGCCTCATGAGCACACTATCTTTCCTATAGTAGCTGAATTTTTCTACAGTATCCATAACCCAAGGGCAATATAACAGACTTAAAGCGTCATTCAAAAGAAATGCGAGTGAATAAATAAATGAAGTGATAAGTAAATAAATAATAAATAAGTAAATATTGCAGATATACCTAGTTGCCTTCTCTTATTCTGCAGATTCTTCCTTGGAAAAACGATAGTTTATACGACACCAAAACATTATATTGTCTTATTAAAGTTTTTTGTCATATAGCACCTTATCACGTCCTACAGTACTCTCACATACTTCTACAGACACCTACAGTACTTCTATAGCAGAGCGATTTCAGTCACATAAAGATTTGGAGTAATTTTCTCTATTTTAGCTTGGAGTACCCACTGAAGAGACGTTCCAAACTGTAGATCTATTCGAAGCCCGTGATTTGTTCTCAGTCTGCGTTACTCTTCTATCCCTTGGCCGCATCGTAAGTTTCAAAAAATACTATTTCGGCTTTTTCGTCAAAAATATTCTGTTTCAGCTGCAAAAGCAAGGCAAGACGAACCCATTCAAGTAAATGAAGAAGTCTTGACAGGGTAATTTATATCAACATGCCGAATTCAACCATTTAATCAACTTAAAAATTTTAGAGGAACGAAAAGATCAGCAATCACGATGCCGCCATTACTTCTGATGTTACGACTCGTCTCATATCTTGTTATTTTATGAAGTTTCACGTGTATCGCTTTTTTGTCTGATTAATAATGACTCTCTAATGTAAAATAAAGCACTATGTCGCGATCCAGATGGTACCCTATGAGCTATAAGCTGGTTTGGAACTGGCATACGCGAGAAAAAACCTTCAAAAACAGATTTGAGGCTATCATACACCAATCAAAATCATTGTATATGGACAACAAGCTTGATGTACTTCGCAGTAACAAGTTTTCCAGTCTCAGCATGAAGTGAAACTTCCTGGCATATGTTAAGAGAAATTGTACCATGATTCCTGTTGTAACAAATCGCATAGGGATTGATTGATGCTACTCATCGGTAAAGTACAGATGTACAAACATTTGCAAGCTTGAGAGATAAACATAGAAGAAAAATACACTTCTGCACTATTTTGATGCAACATTCGCGCTTTAAACACCTTCCAGCAAACTTTCTCTCTAGTCATTAATCTTTGGTTGTTGTTTCAATGATAGACTTTTATGAGTAAATAAGTAATTGAGTATTTGGAGCAGCACAAGCCGAAGGTATCCCGGCACTATGTCATGTCCTCGAATATATCCCAGGCAAAGTGAAAAATGTAGGCATAAAAGCCAACACACATTGCCAAAAAGGCGAATAAAATAAGGTGGTGCACTTTCTGCTTTGGAAGCAAGAGCTTCCACAAGTGTGGTGGTGAGACATTTCGATGAAAAAACAGAATAAGGAGGTATCCTATTTAAATGCCGCACAGATTGGTATGGTTGAACTTTTATTGAACTAACGTTTCGAACCACTCGTCTTTCTCGGAAGTCTGAAGGGGATTGTACTAGGTTGGTGCAAAAATAATGCGCGCTTTTCTATCCTTGTTCCAGGACAACTTTCTCCATCGAGCTTTCTCCTTTGAAAAAACTCAGTACACTATCGAGAAGCTCTTTTCATGCTCTGTTCAGAGGTGGTTAAAAGGAGCTTCTAGGCTCATTCCTTAAAAATTATTAGAGCTTCATACAGGCTTATCAAACGCAGTGTCACTTGCATCGGCATCTCCACTCCCGCGCTGGACTCTGCGTCTCTTCCGCGAACATGCTCTCTAATCGCTTCCAGTCAAATGAAGCTCCGCCTTTCCCATGCTCGCCCTGGACAAGTGATCAGAGAGCATGTTCGCGGAAGAAATGCAGAGTGCAGCGTGGGAGCGGAGATGCTGATGCACTGCGACACTGCGTTTGATAAGCCCTACACGACCGCACTCAAAGCAGAACTTCAATGCACTCATTTTTCCGGCCAGAACTCAAGCGCGAATAGAGGCTTCATTTGGAAACTTAGCTACTGTATGTAATAGAAATTGTCTACATTAAGCACACTTTACTATTTTCTTATCTAGGCTGAAATTTCGGCGCCTCAACATAGGTAGAAATATGGCGAGTAGAGAGCGAGGCCCGCCAGTCTGGCCGCTTCCGCGGAAGTCTGGTCCTGAAACGACATGCAACAACATTGTTGCAAAAGTGGAGTTTTGCCATTTCGCAACGGTTTGGCGAGCAGCTAAGCACGTGGGAGGCGGGCGGTGTTGTGGGGTGCTTGACTGCTATTTCAACATTCCGGTTTTCGTCAACTTGGAAAGCGGTACGACTACATATTTTCTAAGTCACCGACGACTTCCGAACCCGAAGACGACGTGGTACAAATGTTAAAGGAGTATTTCAACCTTTTGGTCGCACAAGTTGCTGCGACTAGGCGTAATTCGACCACTCCAGAATCCCCGATGCATCGGGAATCTGCACAATATCCGATTCTTCAAGTATCTGCTCCGTCGGGGCCTAGTTCTTCCACGAAGCCAAAATCCAGCAGAACAGGATTGGCTAAGAAGTTCGACTTTGATTCCAGTGTGCTGGCAGCGTTATCCCATTGATGGAGTTCGTGCCACAGGATGGAGGATCTAGGACGAATCTCCAGAGGGCAATCATGTGCTGAGGCCGGACTTGACCCCCGGCCTCAGCACCTCTATGATCTATTACGCGCCAAAACCACGTAGCCGCGGACGAAAGAGCTACGTATAGCGATCAATGCACAATCACGGTTCGAATTTCGCCACTATATTCTCACTTGGTATTCTCCCGTTAGTCGTTTTGTTATGGTTTTGTATTCATTCGCCTTGTATTGTCTCATGCTTGCCAAGGGTGCTAACAAAAAGGTACTATGCCTGGAAGCTTCACGTATCTCGTTGAAAGATTCTCAGTATATTCACTTAATGTTTAAATATTGTTAGAACTTTGCTTCGTATCTGCTTTGTTGTTCGTTACTTGTTGATAAAGGGTTAATTTTAAAAAAAATTTCTTGTGCATGGCCACTTACGAAGATCAGGCCGAGCGGAATTACGAAATCGATCGGAATTAACCGAAGACGATCCTCTTATTTTCTTCAGTAGACAAGCATACGAGCGAAGACCCAGTGAAGGAGAACGCCTTAAATCCAAGGAAGTCAACGGTAACATCATTCGAGACCACTTGAACAAACTCAAGAACACTCATTGTAAATTGGAATCTCTCACGATTGATCCATTTTTGAATCCATACATCGAGAAAGATGAAGCAGATTCATATGTCTGAAACTACAGACGTGGATATCTACATGAAACAGGACGACATCGAAAAACTCCTTCAAAGGCTCATCGAAGACACAACGACAAACAAGCGATCTCCGGATATCGAATCCATTCTGAGAAAACTACGCAGGATCGAATCGATGCTTCTTGAAGAAGAGGCAAAACGAACCGAAGAGACAACTACACAGCAAATATTTTACTCTCAGCGTTGGTAGAAGAAAAATCCCGACACTTGGAAGAGAAGATCAACGATAGTAGCGAGCTCATAGTCAACTCGATGATTAACCTAATGACGCGAAGGCTGACTCGATATAAGTCTCCAACCCGATACTGGCCGCCTTCTTCAGGGACAAGAAGAAAAAGGAGGAGAGAAAACAGCCAGTGCAACTTCGGTCGGTATGGAGTGAGTTTTTCTGTAAGAGTGGCACGTTATCCACGAAGGATCCAATGTTGCATGAGTGTTATTCAACTGTTCAGAAGCTCGTTTACTGCCCTATCCCCGGCCCTTTCGGTACGGAAGGGAGGCTCGGGCTCCCGCCCCTCTTGCTTTCCAGAGGCCCTCGTACAGTGAAGGACGGTTCCGCGCCCATTCGCCGCCTGCCCGTCAACAAAGCCGCCCAAAGAGATGTGTTACAACTGCGGAAGATATGGGCATTACTCTCGCGAGTGCAGGGAAGAACGCAAGCTATGACGGTGAGTTTTTGGCTGGAGGCATACACCGGTGTGCTGATTTTTGTATGAGTATGAGACCTTCCCCGTTTCTGAAAAATGTGATCCGCGACGGTTATGCGCCAGTATTCGTGTCAGAGCCAGCGTTGGCAGTCGTGAGGGGCAATTGCAGGTCTGCATATAGGCATTGTGATTTTGTGGACCGGAAAATAACAAGTTTGCTAAAAAGTGGAGCTGTAGTTAGGGCATCTAGAGGGGAGAGTCTTGAAATCAATCCACTGTCAACGGCGGAGGAGAAGAAATTACGGCTTATGCTAGACTTATCGGAGCTCAATAAAAATGTCAAGAAGAGCAGAGTCAAGTTTGAGGACGTCTCCAAAGTTGTTCCGTTGCTACCGGGGGGGGGGGGGGGGGTTACATGGCCGCTTTTGTTCTTAAGTCTGGCTACCACCACGTCAGGATTAACTCTAGCTTTCACAAATATTTTGGTTTCACTTGGAGGGACACAGCATATTTGTGGTACTCCCCTTCAGGTTATCTTCTGCTCCCATGTGTTCACCAAGCTATTGAGGCCTTTACTGAGCAAGTGAAGATCCGCTGACATAAACATAGCGGTATATCTGGACGATGGCCTCTTGTGGTCCGATTCCGCACGCGGGTGCGAGGAAGCGGTGAGTATGATCAGAGCTGACTTGCAACATGCCGGCTTTTCGACATAAATGTTCCTGGATCCCGATCTAGAGGATGATATGGTTAGGTCACGAGATAGATTTGGCAGAAATGACTCTGAATGTCAGGAGAGAAAGAAAGAGAGAGAGCTAAGCTTCTAGCCAAAAGAGCATTGAGAATGAAGGGCCCATCTCTTTGAGACAGACTGCGGTGGCAGGGCACTTTGACATCGATGCACCTGGTAATTATAGACCTACTAGCTGGCTTACCCGGCTCCGCCGTATGTTCCGAATAGAAAATTCCATTTCTTAACCGGACCAAACTTGGCACATATACCCTTCGGGCCCCGGCGGGTGTCACAGTCCACTTTTCGTTATCGATCGATGTCGATTTTATCGATTTTTTGCAAAATTTGAGCTACGGGGCTGGGAGTTGGCAGAGGGGTGTAATCGAGCATGCTGATTACGAATACAATATTAGTTTTCGAAACCGTGCATTACTTTTATCGATTTTATCGATTTTTTGCAAAATTTGAGCTACGGGGCTGGAATTTGGCAGAGGGGTGTAATCGAGCATGCTGATCACCCCCACGGGGGTGATCAGCATGCTCGATTACCCCCCTGTGCCAACTCCCAGCCCTGTAGCTCAAATTTTGCAAAAAATCGATAAAATCGATATTGATCGATGACGAAAAGTAGCCTGTGACACCCGCCGGGGCTCGAAGTGTATGTGTGCCAAGTTTGGTCCCGATCGGTTCAGAAATGGAATTTTCTATTCTGAACATACGTACACACATACAGACAGACATACAGACAGACATACAGACATACAGACAGACAAACAGACATTCAGCTTTATATATAAGAAGGAAGCACTGGAAAGCCGTGTTATCCCAGGTAGCGGAGAAAGAGGGTTTGGGCACAGCGATGAGCTTCAGATGCTTTATTGCTCTTACTTCACAATAAAAAGCGCAAATTCAAGCTTGGCTGGAATTTGACGCATCTTTCAGGGGTGCGCCCATCTCGGCAATCGTGGAAGTTTCAAATGCGCTAAGGGCTTTTTCGGACGCGTCAGAGCTCGGCGTAGTGGCGATTTTGTACTTGTCTCGGACAGAAAGTTATGCGCGTCAGCGAATCTGCCTCCGGAGCTGGTAAATTCATCCAGTACTGCCAGGGAGCTCTTTGCCATCTTGTTCGGCTTGAGAAGTTTCGCCAAGCACCTCAGACTGGAGCAAGTGGTGTGGCACAGAGATAATCAGCCGGCGGTAGCTATACTGGGTAGAGGGTCTACGAAACCGCATTTATAGAGGATGGCGAAGTGCATTTGGGACTTTGGAGCACGGATTCAGCTTAATGAACTTTTCCTGGACCGCGCGAGAAGTCAATTCGGAGGCGGACTTGGCATCGTACGCTATCAGAGAGGAAGTAAGCGCGCACTCACAAGAAGTTTGGGGCGTTTGTGCGTTAGATTTTTTCGCCAGTCAAAATAGCAAAAAATGCGCAGCATTCATTTCCAAGGAAGCTTGTAGAAGCGGTGATGACCGATGTGTTTTCTCCCGAAGCGAGCAGACTGTGGGAAAGCGAGTTTGCCTGGTGGGTTCCCCACCCAGCTTTTTAGGTAAAACTTTACGGTGGACGAGACGACACAAGAGCTAAGAAATCCTAGGGTTTCCGATGTGGTCGTCAAATATATTTTTCTCGTCCTTGAGAGAAGGAACGCATGGATTTCGCAGATCGCGTACTTGAGAGTGTTTCCGGCGGGAAGCCCAATTTTGGTCGGTAATTCACCACCCTATACATTCGGGGGGACCTCGCCCAATTTCGACTTTGCTTTCGCTCTCCTACGCTTCCAATAGCGTTCCCTTGGGCTTTAACTCTTTCCGCTCGTTCGTTGCGAAAGGGCAAAATATAGGTTTTGCCATAGTATATCGGAGGTAAAAGTGGAGTTTTGCCATTTCGCAACGCTTTGGCGAGCAGCCAAGCACGTGGGAGGGGGCGCAAGTGTTGTGGGGTGCTTGGCTGCTAGTTCAACATTGTTTTCGTCAACTTGGAACCCACCCGCCCGCCCTCATCGGGTGTTGAAATCCTCAAATTGGAGCGTATAAGAAAGGGAAATGCAGCAAGTTTAAGCGCGTGTCTGTTAGATTGTACAAATTTGGAAACTGAAAATTGCGGGTATTAGCTATTTCAGACATTTTCGTTGACGCGAAAAGGAAGAGAGCTGGAGAGACCGCTGCATTTGCGCTTGACGCTGGTTTAGATAGAATAGTCGAGATGATCGAAGCATGTTTCGAGAGCACTTTGGTTGGCGGGACGCTGAAGATCTACAAACGAGTCCAAAAGAAGTTTTTAAAATTTGCGGCAAAGTTTCGCACTCCCCTGGCTGCGTTGCACAAGCTTCGCAACGTCTTCATAGCGCACCTGATCGAGAAGCGCAGGCTCAAAGCCTTGCGCTATCACGTCGCCGCTCTATCGCACTTTTCTGGACCGCTTCCGCAAACCGACGAAAAGATTTTGCGAGCGCTTTTGCGCTCTGCAAGGACCACCCCAGCAGTGAAGCACAGGAAGAAAGTCACGCCGAAAGATGTGGATAAGGTCATAACCAGGGTTGAGCAAGAGATCACCATCATTCCTTTAGGTGATTGTGATATCCATCGAACTAGCGCATTTCTTCTTCACCTTCGTATGTGTCTCCCCAACTGAACAAATTCGATTCTTAATTACGACCCCCTCCCTCAGTCTTACCCTCAGTACGACCCCCTAGGTCGGGCGCGCCTGACCCCACGCTCAACCCTGGTCATAACGCGGGCCTTGGAGCAATAGACCTTTTCTGCAATAACTGGGGCGTCCATTGTCCTTCCGCTATTCGCAGCATTCCTTAGGTCCCGGACAGACTTCACGCGATTTGATCGTCGCGACTCAATCGCCGACATTTCCATTCAATTTCATTTCACATTCAAAAATCTCGGGCCGTAAAAGTATCACAACTGAAATGCAAGTTGATTGGCATGGAATGATGTTGTAACAGTTGTCTCGTCGTGATTCAGTCGCGACGATCAAATCGCGTGAAGTCTGTCCGGGGCCTTAGCGTTAGCGAGCTTTGCCACCTCCTGCAGATGTCATTTACAAGGGCGAAAGCCTATGGTGGTTAAGAATTAGAAGATCAAAAACAGACCAGGCAGCGCAGGGCACGACTATCGCGTTCCGGCTAACGGGGAAGGCCCTCATACTCTAGAGCGTCTGCCAACTTAATGTCCTTAAATCCGGATCATTTTCTTTTTAGCAGAAAACCAGACGGCCCACCTCCTTCAAGGAACGCTATTATCCGCAGACTCGCAAAAGTCCTTCGAGAAACCAACCTGTAAATACGCTCACCTCCCATTCGTCAGAGGAGGCGCCGCCACACCAGCCATACGAGCAGGAATCCATCCGTCGAATCTTATGCGGGCAGGAAGATGGAGGATCGCCGAAGCCTTCGCCAACTACAATTGATCCCACTCCTATTTGATCGCTCCCGTTTCTACCTGCGTTCCTTCCCAATACCGCTCTCATTGATCGCCATGTACTTCATTCTTTTCTGGCTAGCTGTCGCGACACGTAAGAATCCTGCACAAGCGTCTGTACCATTTCTATTTTTGCCTCGGGCAGGACGAGGCCTTGTTCCGTAAGCACTTCCCGCCCGCGACATCTACTCATTTATTTGACCTCAGTTGTCTAGAGTATCCACAGGTTTCAGCATATAGCCATTCCACATATAAATCTTTTTTCTTGACATCCACTCAGTTATGGTCACGCATTTATTTGTTTTATTCGCTACGAGTAAGCGATTCACAGCTGCAATCCTGTATACATTTAGCTAAACTCCAGGTGTCTCGACAATTCTACAGAGCTTTTACCACGTGTTGTCACTTCGTGTTCTGCAAGTCTCAGATCGCGGGCTTTCTTGTACTATCGTTCTTTTGGGATACTGCCGTGTGCTAATACGTTATTCTTGGTCATTTGTCAATATTGTGCCTGCGAGCAGTTTCGCCTTTTTTTCATGATGCTATCTCGACGTTTAGATCTCTGTGCTATGATGTTTTATTCATTTGGAGCCTCGCAAGCTCGCCATGTATAAGTTAGTTGACGATAAACCTTCACCCCTCGCTCGTTCGTTGCGAAAGGGCAAAACATAGGTTTTGCCATAGTACAGGGTTAGGGGAAAGTGTTTAAACACGGTATTTTTATCGTAATGACGAAGCTAGGCAAGATGAAGATGATCAAATGAGATCAACAGAAAATGTTTACTCAACTGTCTGCTATATAAAATTGACTTTACAATTCGAAGATTTCTCCTCTGCCGCGAATACAAGTTCGGATTGCTTGAGAACGCTGTCCATGGTGGCGCGCAGGTGCTCCACGTCGACTTCCTCCCACGCATTCTGAAGAGCACGTTGCAGAGACTCCACAGTCTTGCGTGAGTGAGCGCAGGCTTTGACCTAAATAAATGACCACTTGCCGTAGTCAAGGGTATTTAGATCCGGCCTAACGGAGGCCATTCCATAGGGGTAATGAAATCCTTAACGTTGCTTTGGAGCCATGCTTGAACAACCTTCACTTAAAAGGAGAGGATACCTAGTCGAAAGCACCAATCCAGATGAGACATAGACCATCTTAAAGCGCTTGAAACGCTGATTCCAAATCTGTAGTTTCTAGCTGCGGAACGGTTTTGTAGATGGAGTTATGAGGGGTGTTTCCCTTTAGGGTTGAGACGCCTTCCAGCAGATCTCCCTTGTCTATGAGCACTGTAGAAGAGTACCATGTGGTGGCAACTGCCCTAGTGATAAGTGACTTGCTTGACAAGGAGAGTATGAATGCTTTGCTTCCCTTCGCATGCAACTTTATCGCAATTCTAGCAAAATTGAGCTTCTAAATGGTTTTGGTGAACTAAAGCCTTGAATTTCTGATGATATTGATGCTAACCGAAGTTAGAAGTGTTAAAAAACCAAAGTAATATGAGTATTATAATTCTTATTGTAATCTTCATTCAAATTACTTACCACTAGGGCAGTTGCCACCAGTTGGTACTCCTCTACAGTGCTCATAGATAAGGGGAGTCCTGCTGTAGGGCGCCTCAACCTCAGAGGAAAGCATCCCTCACAACTCCTTCTGCAAAACCGCTCCGCAGCTAGAAACTACAGATTTGGAATGAGCGTTTCAAGCTTTTCAAGATGGTATATGTCTCATTTGGATTGGTATTTACGACTAAGTATCCTCTCCTTGTTAGTGCGCAGGTGCGCTATCCTGCTGTGAGCACCAATCGCTGCCAGCAAACGGTTATTGGTGCAAGCCAACAATTCCTTCTTCAGGATGCTACTCACATGCGTGGCAGTGTCCACCCTGAGCACTGAGACCCTAAAAATTATCGGCATTTTGCTGTGATAAGCGATCGCCGCGCAAATTGTCACAAAAACCGGAAGCTTTCCTTCTGCAAGTCAACCCTTGCTATTGGCTCCTTGAGGCGTCTAGGAATCGACTCTGTTGTTTTAACGATCAAAACCTGCTTCACGGTGAAAATTTTGACGTCAGAAAAGAGTTATGTTTGGTGGCGTGCCTTGGATAGACGTTCAGGCATTCGATGGCATCCGCGCAGTCAAATCAACTTCGTGTCTTCCCAAGAAGCATGAATGCATCTTGAAAAGCTTCATCCCAAGCCTTGTTCCAAGATGTCGGCGACTTTCCTACCAGAGATGAACAACTTTGAACCCAACTTAAAGGCAGCGTCCAGGCAAAATCCATCCACCCAGATTAGCACATAGTTGTATAAAGGGGCCCATGAGTATCTGATCTGCGTTGGTCCAATCCTTTGACGTGCCCTCTAAAAGAAGATACGGGCCTGTGATACGTATCACAAGCTGCTCCTTCGTATCACAAACCACCCCTGAGGACGAGTGCTTAGCAGGGTGCGGTTGCATTGCAGTTGCATTGCAGTTGTGCTGCACACTGCAATGCAACTGCATCCGTGCAGTTGCAGCTCCTCCCGCTGGCATGACGATGGGGACGCAATTCGAAACTCGTCCGCTTTTTGAAGAGAGAGTCCCCAAGAACCGGGTTTTTTGGAAGTTTTGAACAATTTGGACTTTACAGCTGTAATCAGGGCCACGGAAAGTCCCCAGAATGGCGGAAACATGAGAGGCGAAATTTTGCCCAGACGCTGCCTTTAATCAAGCTTCTCCGAGGATTGCGACGATGGCGCTGGCGAACGATTTTCAGAAATTTTTGAGTGTCCGCAGTAGCCAGTTTATCACACGTACAGCAGTTCTGAGTGCTGTTCATATCCTGGAAACGACGCAAGGTGGAAAAACGGCTGATTTGTAAAATTTGGGTAACCCGCGCAATCTGCTGATTAGCCATCTTCTCTTCGTGCATCTTCGCCACCAACGCTCGCTTCGTTCCAGAAGGCATATCCCCGACAGGAATAAAGCTAATATTCCAGTTTTCGGAGGACTTGTAATTAAGGATATAAGAAGCAAATACATGTAATTAGTATGCAAGAATATGTGGAAAATCCGAACATGCAATGACGTCAAACACTGTTCAAAGACTTTCCCCCAATCCTGTATATCGGAGGCAAAAGGATCAGTTGGCAGCAGAAGGCGGCTGAAACTGGCGGCCTTCGTTTCCCTACCCGGCTTTGGCCATTCTGTCACCCATAAACTTCCTTTGAAGGGGGCAATCGAAAAGCTTTGCTCATTTCTAAATGTGTAAGGATAGGCCTCCTGTTGACAGTTTTTGCAGAACTATGCAAAGGATGCTCGTCGACGACTGCCCCGACTCGTGCAACTACACCTTGTGCGTACTTTTTCGGAGCCTTTCCAGCTTGACAGGATGCTGCGGTGCGCGGGACTTGGTAGCTCACTACATCCCTGTCCTTTAACCTCTTTCGTTCGCCAAGCATTTCACACCGTTTTCATTTCAAACAATTACTGTTTCTAATGTTTATGTGAGCCTATCGCCGAAGGCAAATTCAAGAGAAAGAATGACCTTTCTTCGTAGTTCCAGTGGTGGGATCATTTCTATGATTGAAATTGCATGTTTTCGTCAATGGTTCAAATGACTTGGCATGTTTCTTAGGACAGACCACTGAAGGGGTTACTTCAGCATTCCTACATCATTGACACCATGTAAGAATGCTGAAACAAACATTCGAGTGATCTCACTTACGCTGAATGCATGATAGCCACCACTGCTTTTGATTAAAGCACACTCTTTCACTTAAATTTTGCCCGGGGTGTTGACACAACATCTTGAAAACTCCAGAAAATGTGCCTAGATCGATTTTTTGCTTACCTTTCAATATTTACCAAAGGAAAATGTGGGATATTCGATCATCGACGGACCTAAGAGAAAAGGAGAACGAATGGCTGCTTAAAATGTAAAAACTAAGAAGAAAAACGGTGCAATTATAGTCTGCCCCAAACAGGACCAGGCTGAAAACTCGATTGAGTTTGCGCGTTCGCAGCGCTAGGGGTTTGCGCTGCATACCCGTGCTGTCGCAGAGAGCGAAGAGATTGAGGAGAGAGCAGATTAGCTAGCCGTAGACGTTACGCAATACCTTCGCGACACGGACTCCCGCCATGCCAATTCTGGCCTGGTTGGAATTGGGACAGACTGTAGCTAAAATCAGCAACAGAGGTTAAAGGACAGCGCTGCCGCGAGCTACCAAGTCCCCGCGCGCTGCACCTACTGTCAAGCTGGAAAGGCTTCAAAAACGCACGTCCACGATGGTGTAACTGCACGAGTCGGGGCAGTCGTCGACGAATGTCCTTTAGCTGTTCAGTGGGCAGAAAATCAAAAATCTCCATATTTTGGGATTTTGGGGCCCTACAAAAAATGTCGAAAAAGGAGGATAATTTTGAGTATTAATTTTTTTCTTTTTCACAAATCTTCTTTGTTTAAGCCCTTTTCAACTTTTTTGTGCTAATGGCTTGCAGTTACGGGACAATTTACTTATCACTGATACTAATTTTGAAGGGAGTTATGATCGGTTGATAACGAGATAAACTCTTACGCTTATCAATCCATATTTTGGTCCCGTTTGTGATATGTGTATAGGTGTTTGTGGGCTGTATTGAGGGAAGCTTGCTGCCTCTGATGGTCTTTACCGCACTGAAAAATGTGGACGTCTTGAAAAGTTATAGCACGTGAGAACAGCAAAACGTGCATTACTTTTGTACAAACCTAGTAGTTCTTACCTGTTTCCACTATGCCGCCAAATATCTTCTCTGACTCTGCCTCGCTTCAGTCCATTTTACGAAGGATCTTTCAAACAAAAATATAACAAGCAGATCAATTTGCTTCGTTCAGTTCCAATCCCCTTCCCTCCCCAGATTTTTAATTTTTCACATATAAAGATCCACAAATCATTTCAACAAAAGGAATGAATTGCACTTCACTTTTGTTCAAGTGCATACCACACCATCACAATGCGTGATTTTGTCCACTGTTTACAAACATTGCCGATTTGAATTGTGTTTTTGACATTTGCTAATTGAGTCGACATCGGACCGCACATTCGCGCATGGCAAACTATCAATCTGCCGTTTACAACAAAGGACTTTATTGACACTGCTGAAATACATGTAATTAGTGAATATACCAATCCTCTTTGCGACTAGATGGAAGCGATTGACAGAATACATTACGGATATATGTCAAAAAGATAATAAGTGAAATATTCGGTTCTTCTCTCTTTAAGAATGAACCAATATATTATGAAAGCGTGAGGGTGCAGCTATACTTGCATTGTTATCCAGTCACACTTTCATGTTATGGGGATCACAGATTAGGTAAAGTGCACTTCGAGTGATTCAAGTACTTGTCAAATACAATTCAAAGTTAAAACCTCATTTGCCTACAACTACGCTAATCACTACGAACTCAGCGGGCAGTCTTCGTGATAACAATGTTGCCCAGTGGCCTCTCTCAATATGCCGTGCATAAAGTCTTCCTTTAGGAGCGATATGTTCATCACTGTCTTGAAAATGGTATCTTACAGTACAAATTTAGGGCATACTGAGCTCCCAGCGCTTCTTTCAAATTTTTAAATATCATCATAGCGTAATCATAGAATACTGAAAAAGATTTGACCTACGCAACACATGTGACTGGCACAAGCCACCGTTTATGCTGCTTCCCTCCCCCTCTGAGCACGGTAGAGTCTTGTCCGCATGGCTTTGAGGCAGTGGCGTACCGAGGGGGGGGGGCGGGGGGGGGCGCGCGCCCCCCCCGAGAATGGGTCGCGAAATTTTTGAAAGTTACTTATATGGGTTATAAAAATGTGTAAGTGACTTGTTTATTTTTGTAAATAATTAAAATAATTTTTAAAAATTTTTAAAAATTCAAATTAGCCTTGTAAAAAAATTTTTTTCGGGGGCGTGGCTGACGCCACGCCCCCTTTTTCCAGATTTTAGGGGTTGGGAACCCGAAAAAATTTTGGGAAGCACCCCCAAAATTTTTCCGGAGTGCGTGGCTAACGCCACGCACCTTCTTTAGAAAAAAATTTTTGTCGCGCCCCCCCCGAGCCGAAATCCTGGGTACGCCACTGCTTTGAGGGTAATTTTCACGGCAGGGTAAAGGTGCTGAGCGATTTCATAGTTGAGAGGTAAACAATCCACCACATCAAATCTCAGTATGGGTCATTTATAAAATCGTGACGACGGCTTGGACTGCGGTCTTTGCGCCCACAGGAGAATAAAACACTCATAAAAAGCATCACCTCAACGGTCAGCTCAGTCACTTACGGTGTCTAAGTACTATGATACATAAGCACAAAAACCATTCAAGCAGAGATGACAAAATGCGATTGCCGGAAATGTGCAGTCGCGCCATCGTTAAGATTACTCGAATGCCCCATATTGTTCAATTTTGCCGAGCCACTACTTCTACTTGGATCAAACTTTTTGTTTGTGAAATGTACTATGTCACCTGTGTGAAACGATATTTTGCCACACAACAAGTGAGAAAAATAATTTCATTTTCCCGAGTGTACACCGATAAAATCAAAGAAAATGTATACACAGTAAATTGACTCGTATAAATGTAGTGATATGATCTTGGTCAAGCATCAAAATGCCGTCTCTGGACTTCATTGGATTTGACCCCTTCTTTCCACAACAAAATGTACTAAATAAAGCAATTAAAGACAGCTCCACTAAAAAAGCACAACGCAAGAGAAATTGAAAAATCAAACATACTGTGTCTCTGAACGGCGCGGTTTCAATCTCTGGAATGTGTTCTTGTACAAGCTGAAGATAGTTTATGCTATCATCAGGTGGTAAGATGGACGAAATTTTGTCAATCTGCAAGATGTACATTATAATGAAAATGAAAACTCTTTAGAATGTCCTACTGTTCGGAATCCTAATTCTTTCACGTTCCGATGGAGGAATGTGTAGTCCCTAATCATCCGCAAGCGAGCTGCTTGATCAGCAGTGAGCGGTTCTGGATGTGAAGTCGACAAAGTTCGGTCCTGAATGGCAAGCATAGTTATCGATAGACCCCAACGGCTGTTCCAATTGCAAAAACATAAGAATTTCGTGGTTATCTCGCAATCCCCCCCCCCCCCCTTAAGAAAAAACAGCCTAGTATCTAACTCCTACATGCTTACTCTGCCCAACAGCGTAACGGGAACGATAGAAGAACAAAGATTTTTTGACTTGCTTACTCATTTTTTTCTGAAACTATAAGGAGGTAAACTTAACCTCCAAAGTTCATAAGGATCGCAAAATTCCTTTCAGGACATTAAGAAGGAATCCAACAAATCCATTAAAACGGACAAGATTCTCGGATACGATGATGTAAGATCAAAATTACACCAAAAAGCAATGCTCAGTTTGAACGCCGTTGTGGCTTGTGCAACTCCTCAGTAAGGCCCAGCTGTTCTAAACGACAGCTGCATCTCCATATTTTACAGGCCAGATTATTTTCTATTTTAGTTCACTCCAATGTCTACTAATAGAATTTGTAATTTGCATTGCAATAGTGTTTGAACAGCATGAAATAAGCAGCATAAACATCACAGTTGCCCTACAGATACTCACGCATTCATAACAAAAATTGTTTAGAAATGACACATACTACAAAATCAAATCAGAACGTCTAAACAAGAAACTCACTCGATCGCGATCATTCGAAGGCTCGCTTCTGTAGCTCTGTCGTGACCTAAAATAATGGTGTGAATCGCTATCTTCGATGGTCTCTGATAGTCTCTTGGAAAATCAACAGTACTACTATAAAACAAACCTATTCCGAAAATCATCTAGGCGATCGTGTTCAATTCTTGTAGATGTTGATTGTGGCATACGAGAAGCATCTCTTGTAGGCGCAGAGAAATCACTAATAACAGGTGATCAAGATAGGAAAAAGTGAACAAAAAAAAAGAAGTCCAAGACAAAACTCACGCTTTAGGCCGTCCATGGCCTTCTTCACTTGAATGACTGCTAGGCTGACGATTCTCTGTATTCCTGAAACCTCTGCTTTCCTCGTCATCATCCCACTCGGAGTATTTGGGCATGGCACTGAATTTCCGGCCGAAATGTTGCTCATTTTGGAATGCACTGTTATTGCTTCTTGAATCGTATCCCTCATTTATCAAGCTCCTTGAAGAAGCCAACGACTGCATACTCGTTTGGCGAAGAACACTTCGCGGACGGAAAGCACTTTCATCAACGGTGCGAGAGAATGCTGATTCTTTTGCACCATGGAAATGTGAATCGACGTTATTCGGCTTGAATCCATTATAAGAGCGTTGTCGCGATTCGGGTCTTTCGTTCTGCCTGTCCGTGGAGAAATGGTTACGATCGCTAGATCGTGCGAATACTGATTCCCTTCGGGAACTCGAGAAGTCCTCAGGAGATCGCATGTGACTTTGAGAGTTATTGTCGAGTAGATCTGTAGGATGAGAACGTCGATCAACCCGGGCGTAATGGCTGTTCTGACTGTTGAATCTGGAATATGTACTGCGAATACAACGTTTTTATGAGGTCATCTCTATCAAAGCATCAACAGTGCAACTTTTATATTTATATAACATTGTTATAAACCTAGGCAACAAAACGAACCTATCATTTTGTCCAAAGTCAGGGCTATTTGCACGTTCGTGTTTCTGAAAATCATATTTGGTGTCCAAATAGAAAGAGTGCGAAAGACCTCGCCCTAGACCACAGCTTACCTCGTGGCTATTCTCACATTGATCATAGAGCGCGCGCTGGTCTATATTTGCTCTTCGAGTGTCCTTATTTGTAGGGATGGCTTGCTCAGGATGCGAATTATTTGCCCCCTCTTCATTCTGAATAGATTTATTTCACACAAATTTCCTCCAAAACAACGAAAAATATTTCAAAGAGATTTTTTGACCAACCACACCGGCACATGGAAACAACGCCAAAATAAAAACATGAGTAAGTTCTTAAAATCACTTTCTCAGTCGATAACTCGATGCTCTGGCGCATAAGGATAGATCATATGGAGTTTTGTACATATAACAGATTTCAGATAGCATGGGCTGCACTTTAGAAACATTGACGTCAGAGCATTGTAAGGTCAGTTTTATTCAATAAAGTGGCTCATATTTTTCATAATTTGTCACTAGACACTATACAGTTATTTATGCATAAACTCTATATGACTGCGGCGCCGCAATTCCCATTAAAATTTTTTCACCTGAACCGATAACGTTTGAACACTGCACATGCTCAGTTTTGGCATCAGCGGCCCGGGTTTACGCGACCACCCCCCGCTCAGCAGTTGAAAAAAGTCGAATGGCACATAACGTTGCAATGGCTCATTGATCCCAGATAAACCTGAACAGTAGTCGCATGTACTGCTTGGCATCCCATGTTAAATAGGCTGTAGCTCCTTTACTATCATGAAACGAAAAGCGAGGAAGATCGCGATCGTAATTTCTTCAATTTTTCTTGTTACCTGAAAGCATAAGGAAGGTAAAAACTCGGCCGATAATGACGAGCAACAGATGACAGCATATATTCATGCAGCCATCAGCAGTATCAGTACAGGGTGCCAAATAAGCGCATTAGGAGAGACAATAAAAAATTACGCTAAGCACTACTTTTGAAGATATTAAAGCATGGTTGAAACTATCGGTGATGTGCGTTTCCTTTTGAAACAAAGGCAGAATGGAAATCTTTTTGATTTCATCATCTGCACATAAGCTAAACTTGAACTGATGAGATTTTTACTGTAATTTGACTTTGTCTTTCCTTTTACAGGTAAGACTTCTATTTCTAATCTCGAATTTTGTAACACACCTTGGAGGGAATAAAATAGTAAAAAAGTAAAAAATAAAATTGTAGGAACGTGTGGAAAGTAATCCTTTGATGAAAAAAAATTATAGAACGTACCTTATCCGATCTCCCTGGTTGTTTACAAGACTGGAATGCAGACAAATGCCGTGGCGCTGAGTCGAACGACTCCGACGAATGAGGCTGCGCTGGATTAGACATCGGCATGCTACTGGTTGGCGGATGGTTACCACGTGGAACGTTTATTCTTGCTCTCGCTTGTCCTTGATCATCCTCAGATTCCCAACGATTTTGGAATGGTTCCACTGTTGCATCAACACGAATTTCCTAAATCAATTTTAGCCAGGTGATAAATAGACTGAATCGTGCAATACCTCCTGTCTTCCAGCGTAGTAAGGTTTCACAGCAACAGGAACTGGCTTCGGTTTTACCAACGGAGGATCAGGTTTGGGAACGGCAAAGCCAGTTGGTTGAAATCCTGCTGACAAGGTCGACTCCTTTTTCGACACCGCAGGAAGCTGCAAGCGAAAGATATTGGGAAACCCTATCAAAATAGATGTTTGACATCAATTATCGGATATCTATAATTTCCCAGCCAAGCTGTTAAGTGTTCGGAGGTCGATGAAATTTTTTTTTACGGGGGTCTTATGGCGAAAGTAAAAACTTAGATATTTCACAACCAGCGCATCAGAAAATCATGCGGTTTCTGATTTTTTTTCCATACTTTATGTAAATTGTAAACCAAAAAAAGTTTTGCGTACAATTGCTTTTACCTATTGCTTTTACCTATACATTATAATGGACCACTAACCACTCCATCGTTTCCTTGAATTAATATCTGATGTTCGCTTACATTACTCTCAAGCTCCTCATCATCGCTGTAAACTCCTTTCGGACCCTCGTCGTCAGAGTCAGAAAACGAATCCGAACTTTCATCGACATTGTCGGAAGAGGGAATGTACTGTGCTTCGTTCATTGAGATATGCTTCCGGATCTAAACCAAGAAAATCAGTTTCAGTTGAAGGTTTGTGCCTGTTACAAAACATAAGGGAAAACCAAGTGCGAACTACTATGACCTAAAAGATACAAATTGTATTGCTTATTTTTTACTAATTAACCATACTGCTTACTTATTTATACTTATATTTGTACTTGAGCTAGAGGTCCCTTTCATCAAAAAGTGCCAGAAAATAAGGAAAACGGACAACAGAACAAATTGTGTGGAATGCATACAATGTATAGCAACGCCAAAAGCTGAATAATAATGGCATAACACTGCAAATTTAGGTCAGGTATTGACACTAGAGCGCGGTAGTTCAACAACTTTTTCCATCACCTTCACTTAAACTAATGAATGTTAATGAGATGAAAATACCATTCGTAAGTGCAAGGCACAGAAAAAATAACATTTCAGTAATATGGTCAAAACTGCAAATAGGACTTGGTGCTACATGAAACTCGGAACATTAATAAGTTTAATTTAACGCTCGAAATGAGAGTCCATGACTACTTATACATGACCCTTAAAGCAAGTAGAGTCATGAGAAAGACTCGTAAAAATATACAGTTTTGCTTACAACAAGCACGTGTCAAATGAGTAAGTCAAATGTGATAAATTTGATTGATGGGAAAAGAAAGAGCTCGGACTGGAATCATAAAACTCACTTTACGAGTAATTGCTATGCCAGAACTATGCCTTCCAAAATTGGTAAACGGCGATGATGCTGTGGTAACGGCAGGAACGTTTGTGAACTGGAAAAGTTACTATGAGCGAACAGACAATACTTACACTTGAACAGATACAGATTTGCATAATTGAGACGATATTGTACACAAAAATAAAAGAAAGGAGCAGGCGAGTGCTAAATTGAAAAATGAGTATACAAGTGGACCATGCACACTAAAACTGGAACCAAATTCGAAAATATTTTCGAACTATCCAATATATAATAATTTATTCGAGATATACGGCTATTCGAGAAAGTCGAATGTTCGAAAAAGTCCATTTATGCGATTGTTTGAATGATCGAACAAATGGAAAAAGGTCTGTATTCGAATAATTCGTTCATTCGACTGTTATTCATTCTATGACTAGGAGACGCGGGACCGCATTGCATACATTGTCTAAACAAGCCCATTCGTGTACTTAGCAGGTTTTTACTTGTTATATACCTCGTCCAGGTTTATTCACTCTTTGGAAACGGGGAAGAACAAACTCAAACTTGTTAAGACAATATCCGCAAGGCGGTCTTACGTTTCCAAGTCATGGAATATGATACTTGGGAAAATGACGTTTCGAACATGAGGAATTTCGATAGACATTTACTCGGACATTCGAATATTCTAGGAGTTTCGAAAAACAGCTGTTCGAATATCCGATTATTCGAATAATGCATTCGTATCTCGAATATTGCAACTGAATAAATGAAAATTGCATTTGAGTTTTCGAGTTTTCATTTATTCGAATAGTCGGATATTCGCTTAAGCTCGGTCATTCGAATATTCGAAAGTTCGAATTTTCAAATGTGCCCGTGTTCGAATAGTTTAATTATTCGTTCGAAAAATTTTCGAAACAAAATTATTCGGTATTCATTCGCCCGAAAAATTTTCATAATTCAATTATTCGATATTCACTCGATAAAATATCTGTTCGTCACAACTATGATGCACACCAAGACTTTTTTTTAGAGAACCTCATTCTCTGCAGCAAAAAAAACAGATACGCGCTCCATCATTTAACCGAAGCCCGCTGCAATTTAATGTCGCACAAAATGCTTGGAAGTTCTCATACCTTAACTTTGCCTATATTGAACAATTCTATAGTGTGGTTGTTGTGAAGACGAAGAAAAAAAACAAAAATCAGACCAAAAAACAACTAAAATCGGATGTTTCTGTTTGCTTCTAGTTTCTGGGTCTGAGTATTTGAAGAGCACATGACTATTACAAAAATGGTTGCTGCTGCATATGACGGACATGAGAGATTATACACATTTAAATCGAAAGGACAGTGAAGCGCATGATAGCACGTGAGTGCAGAGCAATAATTTTTGGAGCTCGCGCTTGGGTCACCTAGACCCCTGCCTGAGGTCAATAACTTGGTACTACAGGCACTGTTGATGACAGCGGGGTATTATGAGATTGACTCGAACAAAGATCAGAAGCTGATTTTGTTTGACAGAACCTACATCTTTCATCGGGCGCTCTTGCACTGGAGTTAGACATTGGACTTCTGTCGGTGTGAACACTTTCGAGTACCTTTCCTGCTCAATAGCATTATTAGCGATTCTTTGTTTTTCTTCAGCAGCAATTCTCATGGCATCGAGAGCTTCTCGTAACTCTTCATCAGTATATAACTCTGGAAATTCTCCGATTGAAGAAGGAAGAGAAAGGGAGCATATTCATAATTACCAGTGTCGCTTCCAAAGCCGACACGGAGGAATCCTGTGCTCTCATCCTTTTCCCAGTAAATTTTAGAAAACAAAGGCAACGATAAAGCTTTTGTGATTGAGCTGCGACCGGTCCAGCTTTTGATCAGCTGAAAACATGAACGGTACTATTCCACATAAGTTGACCCAGAAACTGAAAATCGTGAATTTCGCTAAAACTTCGTCTAGGGGGTTATTTGGTATGCTGAACACGAATATGATGTTTATTTCGTGCAGCGCCATCCGATGGAGTTACAGTAGGACTACGGTACAGGGTCAAAATCACGCATTGGCCCGAAACTTGGCCCAGAGAGGTTAATCGGCCCGCTGATGCCAAATATCACATTGGTTTTGAACCGTAGCGTCATTTCCTCAGGTTACGGTAGCTACACGGTAACGGGTGTAAACCATAGTTCTGCCTGAAACAGGTGTACAGCGATTCGGACGATCGTGAAGCTTTGCACACATGACCACCGCCCTGCGCTACACAACTTGCTGCGGCTTTTGGCTAAGCAAAGCACAGGGGAAAGATACATTTGCCGATTTGTGATTTTGACCCCCTACCGTAAACCTACCATAACCGTGCAGGGAGACGTTTTCGTGCGGAGGAAGTGTGACATTTCCAGTCAGCATGCCGAATAACGACGAAGTTTTAGCAAAATACACGTGTTTCATTTTTTGGGTCAACTAATGTGGAATAGCGCCACATGAACAAGGTTCTACATACAGGAGAACCGTAATGAACCTACTATTGATACCAATGTCGTTTTCAAAACCGATCGAGCAAACCTATGTCAACCGCTCTAAACCAAATCCCTTACCTCACTGTTCAAATGTGGTTGACTGAATTCCAGGCCATATGCTTCAAACCATTCCATGAGTTTTCTGTCTTCACTATGTTCGTTGGCGAACATCTCTGCATATCTGTTCTGTACCAACTGCCAATCTACCTGAATAATGACAGATGACAGCACCAAACACTTGACTACCAAATTTATGGCATCCAACCATAGCTGGGTAGGCCAGCTGGGTATACATCGGTAAAAAAAACCCCAGATAAAATCACCTTTCACACTAATAAAAAAACCATACTAATAGATAAATGGATGAGTAACAAACCAGAGGAGCTTTCTGATGGCTTCTTTCCTTCCCTATAAGCTTCAGCAAGAAGTTGCAAGCCTACAAAAAGACAGTATACTATACAATTATGTAAAGGATGCAAAAAAGAAGAATAGAATAGAAACTAACAACTTTGGCTTTATATACGGCCTCAGGTGTATTACACTCTCTGTCCTTTCTAGCTTTCTGCTCTCCCTTCCTAAATTACAATGAGCGATGGATACAAATCCCTAAGAGAAAGAGTGACTTATGCAATAACGAACCTCAAACGTAACCACTGGCCTCCTCGAATGATCCTGAGATATAGTGGTAAAATTTGCTCCGGAGGCACAGCTCTAAACTTTGCATTCCCATCCATTTGAACAATTTTTTCGAAAAGAGGAAGTTGGAAAACTCGTTCCTGCAATGAGACATGATGAACAGTATAAAAGCAGTAAAATTCAGAACCACGGTGTGACAAGAACCGTGCGCTCGAGCTTTTAGCTAAGGTGCTACAGCACATGTGCTTTGGTTTCATATGACAATACTTATATATAAAACCCAAACTGGGCCGCTGATTGCGGCCAGTACGTACACAGATCCAACCAGCGATGAGCTTGCAACGCCAGGAAACTACCATGCAAAAAGTCTTTAGCCCTCGGCACTTGGGTGTCTTCGTGCCTCACTTCATAAACTATGTTACTACCCAGAAAAAACCAAACTTCGAGCATTAATGAGAGCTTAAGGCCTAAACGTATTTCCCCACATTTCGTCAAATCGCTACATCTACGCGATTTGGCGATCTGCCAGATGCCCACAAGTTGCGACGTTGCGTTGCGCGTGTCTCAGTTGTAATGCATAGGCGCGTGGCTTATGTAAGTTCTAGCAAAAGCACCAAGCCTGACCCAATCAAAGCGCGCTTACGACCATTTATAAAGAATGCTGCAGTGCCAGATCGCACAGCGAATGGATCGCATAAGGTATGGTGTAGGTCTAAGACTTAGTTCCAGCCCCTTCTCAATTTCCCTACACTTCTCTCGCCTTCAGCGTGACGGACAGGAACGCCGCATTGCGAACTGCATGGTGGAGCAAACGGGAGAGGAACTACAGTCGATGTCAATTACGTACTCCCTTTCGCATGGGACCTACGCATGCGCAACGCAAGAGCCCTACGCGCGGACCGCCAATCGATAAGGCCAATTTGAGTGCCCGAGCCATACGCGCGCGAACGTGGCGCGAAACTCACTGCGCCTACGGAAAAGGGAGCACGTGATTAACGCGAACTGTACTGCCAACAGGCTCCACCTTAGGCTACAGAGAAATGAAAGTGAGTTCCTCAGCATGAAAAACACTTGGTCGCCAAGGTCTGAGTTAAGTCTCCCCTTAAGGCCCTGGGCAGAGCTCACGCGACGAAGTCGCGCGATCTCCAGTCGCGTCGACTTGCACGCCGCCAGCGACTGGGACGCGACGACTGAGTCGCTCAGTCGCCGGAGGCGTGCATACCTCCGACGCGATTTCATGCAATTGCACAACACTTCACACATTGCACGCACTGTGAAAGCGTCATTTTGCTACTGTCTCTATGAGAACTTCACATTAGATTTTCAGCGATCATTCATTCATTCTGACACTTCACCAAACAATGTTGTTTGGTGAAGTGTCACAATGTTTGTTGAATGAATTGTATCGGTTGCTTGCTTTGCTCATGAAAGCTGCTAGCAGTCTGCTGCACAAACCGACCTCTACTGTTCTCGTTCATGTTGGTCTGAAAATGATTTGAAAATGGTGTTTGCTTGCTCCCATATAAGATTCGATCGATAATCTCCGCAACTGAGGAGGTAGTTGATTATTTATGGCAAATCTGCGCCATTTACGCGCTCCCCCTTCCCCCCCCCCCCTTCCTTTTCCAACATCGACAACTTTGCTATCATCGGCTCCACGATTCGTGTAGAGGCGGGGTTTTGCCAACTCAAAGCGTGGCGGTTTTTGATGGCGAGAGAGTGCAAAAAACAATGTTATGACGTGGAGGTTTAGCAAGTTTACCTGTGTTATCAGGCAAAGTCTGCAATACGCCTCTACACGAATCGTGGAGACGATCATACATCACTGTCACTGAAAAAAGTATAGCACCAAATGGAAAGATTGACAATTTATCACATACAATCACATACATTGACATACATATCACATAGGTACATTTACCACTTTCACTAGATCCCGCTTCAGAATCGAACTCTTCCTCAAGTTTTGAGCCGCTTCCTTCGCTTAAGTCACGGTCCTCTTTACGTTTCTTGATGTCTTCGTCAAGATCGTGGTCATCGTCCTCAGAATCCGAGTCGTCGTCGCTACCCGCACCGGTGCGCTCTTTTCCTTCTGCTTTGACGGTCTCTTTGTATGGGTCAATTTCGTCATCCGAACCGGCAAAGCGATCTTCGGCTTAGTTCTTATCCTGCAACAAGCAATGATTACTCTTCCTTTTGTCAACTTGACGCGACGTACCATTTTCTTTGCGTTGCGGATGCGCTAATGCTTGTTTTGAACGTTGTCATAGAGCTTATTGTATTCTTCTCTGAACGTTCAACAGCTAGAATTGCAACTCACAGACGTAAACAGAAACTCACTTCTCTTCGCTGTTGAAGACTAGCACTTGACCAGATTTGAGCTCGATTTCGAAGTCAAAAGATCGTGTAGACACATGAGAACGAGCAAGGTGGACGGAAGCAACCTACAAATCAGAAAAAAAATGAATTGTCTTAATAATAGAAGACATGATACCTCCTCAAATCGGATGTACATGGGTGGTTTGTGAATGTAGAGGAACCCTTTCTCAAGTGGATAAAGAAAACCAGAAACTTGCCTGTGAGCGCACATTACCGCAGGCGTACCAGAGTGCCTAAAATGTTATATGCAACGAGATTATACAATCAAGATATGTAAGCCTGCAACGATTCTTAATAACAAAAAAAGCATCTAGCTCACCCTACGAAATTTCCTGGCATAGTTATTTTCATATTGATCATCACTCTGATTATCTTCGAAACCACTTCAAACAAAGGACCAGACAGCTCCTTTTCCATTTTTCCACCATACTGCTCATTTAGTTGCTGCCTCAACAGTTAGGAGTGTACTGAACACATTTAGAGATAATGGAGAAGATAGGCAACTTACTCAGTCAACCCTAGCTCAAGGTCGATTTCATCCTCTCTGAGGAATTCAAGCACAAGATAGTGATATCTGGTTTGACCTTGCCGGATTGGTGGATTTAGTGATATCTAGACAATCGCTGGTGAGAAGTGGTTGCGGCAACTCGATAAACCTACAACAAAATACACATGACGGCCATCTTTGTGCGGAACAAGGAAAAGACGCATGATTGTTTTGATGGGAATTTTGTAATCGTACGTCTTTCCGTGAAGTGAGAGATGATTGGGGAACACTTTGATGTCGTATCGGTCACTAGAAAAACATGTATTTTCGAAAAGAGCGAGAACGATATACAACATACCATGGAGTGCAAAGGATTTGTTGCAACGAAGCAACAGGCTGACAAGTTTCAGTCTCAATTCCAGCAAAGGCCATAACAGTTTTTCGAAACTCCTAAACAGCGTTCTATCTAAAAGACACCAACAACCGAATTTTCTCTATCAAAACTGCCAAAGGTAAGTTTACCTCAACCGGATCCGATTCCTCATCATCTACATCAGGCGGCATATGGAACCGCATTTCAATAAGCGATGTAGGGCAATCATCCTATTAGTAGGATTGAGGCACTCTCCTTACCTTATAATTAAATCCCAGTGCCTGAGACTATCCAACCTGATGGAATTCTAGTGTAGCTTCGCTTTTATTTCCCACACAATTTGCAACATTGGAAAGTGGTACTTCGAATACTGGCTTGTTGTCAAGGGTGAACTCTACAGACTGACCTACAGAGAAAGGGTATAAGCAAACATGACATTTTCAAACAAAACTTACCATCTACTTGACAATTCCCGTAATTCCAACCTTTCAGCACGAGTTCGTTCTGTTCTACATCCTTATTCCAATTCTTCTGGGCAAACTTCTTGATTTTGTCCAAATCCTGTAGCGGAATCAATCAATCTCTCAAAATAGAGCCAACCAGCTCCCATACTCACTGAGTCTTTGAATCCACCAAATCTTATCTTTCTACCATCACTGAATCGTAGTTTGATGCCAAGTCGATTACCAAGCCGTTGCCAATTCAAAATGTCAAGGTCCGATGCGTTTGCTGTGTTCAACTTTCCCGTTTTCTCGTTTTTGAATTGTATCATAGACTCCGCAAACTTGATACGTCCGGGGTTCTGCAAACACGGGAAAAATGACGACGTGATATCACTTTGTTTCCATTCGTTGTAAAGTCTAAAAAATACACTTACTGCTGTTTTGAAGAAAAAAGTAGAACCAAAAGAAGTAAAGGTCCATGACAATAAGCGAAAAATGACAAACGATCACAAGGGAACGCCTAGCGCACTTACTTAAAAGATATGGCTTTGTCGAAGAGCTGACGAAGCTCACGAGCTGTGGCATCTTCAAAATACTTCGACTCTTCGTAGTAATTATCATCTTTAGCTTTATCTGGATGCTTTTGTTTGAATCTGCAATGGACATACTTCTACAGAAAAAACGAAACAAAAGCAATTTACTTGGCTTTCTCAGCTTCGTACTCCTCCATTTGTTTCTTGAACTCCTCATTATACTTGGATTTTTCATCTTACGGAGTAGCAGTAGGAGTGGAAACTCGGGTATCGGTTCGAATGGAGAAGACCGAGAAGTCAACAACATCGTAGCGTCTGGAAAAACATGGGTCATAATCGAATGACTGTTGGGAAGCATCAATTATGAGTAAGGAAGATGTCCCAGCAAGGCCACCAGTGGATGCGGACATTCCGAAGTAACCAATGGCAAAAGGGTTTTCAGTTCTAGATACGTCAACGATAATGCACACGATAGACGAAAAGACTGCTACTCTCATGCAAAACTAATAATATCTTTTGGCGTTTTGTTGCATAACATCGTCAGTAGACTGCGAGCACATTCTTCAAGAATTCGATGCACAATCGAACAGAGTGAGGCTTCTTTATGGCAGTCTAGGGCACATGAGATATAGAAAAATCGAGATAGAAGATAGGAAAAAATGCAAAATGAAGACTAACTGACTCATCAAACATTGCAAAGATAGGCATAATCTAGCATTTGCAACAGTTCATGCGAAAACACTCATAAACCGCAAAACAACAGCAACATACAACAATAATATCAAAAATCCAGTTCAGGATCGGCGCGACGGTCGCGCCGTCGCTCGCCGCAAACGCGCGACGCGATGTCGCGCCGATTCGGCAAAATCGCGACGACATCGCGTGGCGAGCTATGAACGCTGAAAAGTGTGGCGCGATCCGTCGCGCCGCGCAGCCATCACAAACGCGTCGGGACCCACACAGTAAACAGCGTGGCGTGGAACACTTGTCCAAAGTGATGGGGCGCGACGCGACGAAATCGCATGAGCTCTGCCCAGGGCCTAAGCCTAAGGCATCCCTCACGCGATTTCAGTGCTCCGCGTTTTGGTACCGGAACGACTGTTCATAATAGGTCATCAGAGCGCTTTGTGAGGCAGGACTTGATCGGTTTGCTAAAAATCGCAGAAGCTACGCACCCATGCATTGTATGGCCGCAAACGGTAAGTTTGGAGACATCTGGTGGTAAGGGAATGAACACATCAATTAGGGACCGCCTCCGCTGGCCGCTGGTCCTTTCGTCCTACTGTTGTCCATCGTGTTGAGACCAACAGTCCGCGGAGGCGGTGCCTAAGGCTGCGTTCAAACTGATCACGAAGTTCGAGAACAGTTCCAGCACAGCGCTCGAACTAAGCGCTGTGCTGGAACTGTTCCCGAACTTTCGCATCAGTATAAACACACCCTAATTGAGGTGTTCGTCCCTCCACCCACATCTGGCAAAGTGCAAGGTCGCGTGTACGTCGCGATTTAGCCAAATCGCGCGAGGTATGCCTTAAGGGCCGGGCATACTTCACGCGATTTCAGTCGCGACGCGATTTGGCAATTCGCCAGAAGACTTCAGATCCAATATTAGCGAACTGCACATGCATAGCGTGTGTAACTTGAATGGATCGCTGGAACGCCCTATCTTGTGTACATCTAAAGTGTGTTTACAGTGAGCTATGGACAGTTGGAATATTGCCAAATCGCGTCGCGACTGAAATCGCGTGAAGTATGCCCGGCCCTTTAGGCTTTAAATTTTGTGCCATATTTGCCTACGCCTGCAAGATAAGGTACCAGAACACATTCCTGCGGCTTGCAGGATTTTGCGGGAGGACCCATCACAAGGGCGGTGGGTTCCACGCAAAAGTGTGCAAGCTGATGCAAGTCTTCCATCAAGAACGGTAACGCCAGTATGCGAATGAAGACATCGCAGCCTCGAATGCATCATCTGCGCTGCCGTTTTTTTTTTTTGAGCCTTCAAAATGAGTCTACGTGTCCTACGATTCAGAAATGCCTGGACACCCTAAACAATGCCTTTAGCATCATTCAAAGACAACACCATAATTCGTGTATCAAACAGTTCGACAATGATGCCCCGAAGTACCGTAAAATCTCACAGATAAGTCCTCCCATCAGATGAGTCCGTTTCCTTTCCATTATAGCTACCCTGAAATCTTGCCAGATAAGTCCGAAGACTGCCAGATAAGTCCATCTGTAGACGGACTTATCTGATGGGAGGACTTATCTGCAAGATTCTTGGCGATGCGAGGGTGCTTCAGCGATTTTTCTTGTCGAAAAAGTGGACTTATCTGTAAGGTTTTATGGTAGGCACACTTGTAGCACGTCTACCATGAGTCCGAATTCAAAGTCTGTGTGGCAGCCACGTGAGTGCATTCAGTGGAGACGACGTCAAAGAGAGTGCTTGAACAAATTTGGGTCCTCCGACACAATGGATCGATATGGCAGGCTTTATGATAGATCCGACAGGCCCGCTAAGCGCGGGGACAGCACAGGTAGCGCATGAAGCAAAACACCAAATTTGTCCAGAAACTCTAATTTCTGAAGCCCTAAAATGATCCGAAAGCATGCAGTTAGCAACATGCAACAACATGTCGCCTCCGATAGCCATAAACGGCTGCCAACAAGTTACTGCACGTTGTCGAAATGTTGCCAAGCGTGCCGCAGGCGAACGAGATTGACGGCCATCAGTCGTGGGATGAACGAAGATAGTTGGATTGCGCTGCATAAGGGAATGGCCATAGGTTGCGGCAACGGTTGTCGAGGCTGTCGAGGTCGTCGGCGTTGCTGAGGCTGCGTTCATAATGATCAGGAACTTTGGAACGGTTCCAGCACAGCGTTCAAACTGAGCACTGTGCTGGAACTGTTGCCGAACTTCGGGATCAGTATGGACGCAGCGTGAAGTGGGTAGAGGACTACATGTCGCCGAAAAAGGGCGGTCCCGCGGTCATTTGCGACAAATACGCATCCTTGTACATGCGCGGACATGCGTTACTGCAGGGAATCCGCGCGGGACTCTTCCATTCGGTGGACGTATAGTCCTCCACCCGCGTGAGCCGAGGTTGCCGGTCGTTGTAGGACCCCATGACAGCCTCCACGTTTCGCGCGCTCTCTAAGGGGTCGTTCATACCGCGCACAAAGGCGGACGAAGCCGGACGAAGCCGGACAAAGGCGGACGAAGGCGGACAAAGCCGGACAAAGGCAGACGAAGGCGCGTGTGAGTGTGTGTGCGTGTCGAGAGAAACGAGACGAGACGAGACCACGCCTTCGTCCGCCTTTGTCCGGCTTTGTCCGGCTTCGTCCGCCTTTGTCCGGCTTCGTCCGCCTTCGTCCGCCTTTGTGCGCGGTATGAACGATCCCTAAGCTGTCTTCTGGCCCCGGCAGCGCAGACAACCTCGGCAACCCCGACAACCGTTGCCGGCGACCTATGGCCGTTCCCTAAGCGCACGTAAAATAACGTAGTAGGAGAAATGAAGAGTAGAGAGCAGACAGGTTCTACCATGACGCTCTTGACTGTAAACATGACAGAAAGCTGTGGTGATGCGAACGCGAATCATCCCTTTGGCCTGATCATGATTGGATAAGGATTGTATGTTATCTTTTGCCTTTCACATTCATAGACGCATTGTTCAATTGTGTCCACCTGTAAGATCAAGGTAGGGGTGCTCAGCTACGGTTATTAAGATTTGCCCAGACAAATCAATGCTAAAAAGGTCTGGTAAAGCAAAAACATGGAAGCTGAAAGCGGAGACGCTGTGAAGGTAGTGTGTGGACAAAATCCTTCTCTGATTTTGCGAGAAAACTGGCACACTCAAACAACAAAGTATGATGACGTCTTAGCATAACAGGAAGCATTGCTATCGCTATGAATCACTGACGAGCACAAAAAAGGCATGGTCGATAAGAGAGCGAAAAAAACAAGTCTTCTAAGAAAAAGCAGCGAAAGTAAATACTCACCAGATTTTTTGCAATTCTGTCCGCCTCGACTCTGTCATAGTCCGTCGCTATCCTCCCAACAGTGTACAAACTTAACCAAAGTCGTGAAACTTGGCTAAGAAGATTAGAACGTAACACTATCTCAGAGGACATGGAAAGTGCTCACCGTAAATTCAAATCAGTATTCTCGGCTGAAATTGTTTCGTCTTCATTTATCTGCTTGGGACAACAAAGCATAGAGCACAACATATGCATTTTTACTTGCTCCTAAACAGATATTTTCCTGACCAATTCGAGTATGAAACTTCAAGATTATTTCACTAACTTTGTCCTCCCTATCGCAATTGAATTGAGGAATATTCAAGGAGGCGATGTAGGCATCTGTTCGCATTATACGTGCCGTCGTCTCCGTCTCCTAAATTAGGATTCGTAATATAAAGTTATGGAATAGCAAACAGGGGCTAAGAAATAAGCGCAAGTCGACATATTATCGGGGTTAGAAGTATTAAACCAAGACGAAATTCTTGCAAATGTGTGGAAAGTACAAGACATTGTTATCACTCGCTGTGGCCAAAACCGAGGATCAAAATGATCAAAGGGGTAGGGGTTCATCTCATAGGTAAAATCTAACTATTCTCTTCGCGGCGACCTTATGTACGTTTTTAGGCGTATGGCCCGGTTTCAGCTGCCACGCTAGCTATCTGTCAGTCTTCAAATCCACCATTAGATCAATGTGCACAGTTAGCGTTAATTTGAAAATCAATGCCCCAAATTCCCTATATTCAAAAGTTCCAACAATGAAATAAGCAACTCCTTACATTCCAAATGCGCTCTCGATGAGTTACAGATATGTGAAGCATATCGTAACTCATCGAAAACTTATCATACCAGATCTCGTGACGAGCATCGTGTAAGACATGCCACGCTTATGTGACAGTACAAGTGGTGTCATAGCTGCCCAAAATCGAAAGCATCCGGATAGAACCTTTATGACACCACTCCAACAGACAGCCAGTACAAGCAAAACAGCATGTCACAGTCGCGCGAATTAGAAATTTCAATGTCAAGACTTCCCTCTCAGGCGATCCCAGGTTCCAAAAATGTCATAGAGCATGTTTCGCCGGTAATTACGAGAAAGTTGATGAGTAATAGAGAACAAGTGTCGATAAAAGACCGCGCAGTGTAGGGTTATAAAGTGAAAATCACTTCCAAAAAGCTCACGTAACAGGCTAAATTTAGTCACCGGTAACATCAACAACAGAAAGGGATCAAAATAAGTGCGCTCAGTAGCTGCAGCGTGTACTTTGCAGGATCAATGGCAATAAGATTAAGGAAGCAAGTAGTAAGTAGACTGAGCTAAACACTGTTCCAGCACTGTGCAAACTTAAGAGATTAACAAATTTATAGACCCGGGATGGTCATGCTGCTTTTTTCTACAGGCTTTCCATTTTAGATCTTAAAAATCAGATTTACGATCGGCGTCAATCAGCCGCGTTAGCAAATGTAAAGGCAAAATCCCTTCGCTGAAAAGGGAAAGTTACTCGTGTCTAGAACGTTGCATCCATTCAATTCAAAACAGCTCCATTTTGGAAGTCAAAAAAATGAAAAGCTGAGTGTACCAAACGGCAAAAATCCAGAAAAAATAAAAGAAAAAATACAAGTAACTCACCATGATTGCCGCAACCAAGACTCCAGAAAATTGTCTATGTTCGTTGTTCGCGGTTGTTGTTCGGGTCGAGACAAGGTGTACTAAGCGATGTTGCGGTCGGAACACAGTTCGGGGAACGCCTCAAAATCACTAAGCCAACGGTTCAAAATCCTAGAAGTTTTCGTATTTAACAGAAACTTTGGAGAAAACACTACATTACAAGAGGTATACTATGATACAGCATGGGACTGTGACCAGTAGCTGCAGTCATAGCCTGCAAAATTGACTGGTCAGGTTTTTCCCGATGTTGTAATTCTTGCGATAAGAGGCTTGAATTGGCGGATTCCCACTAAGGAGCTTTCCTTTCCAATGTGTGTAACTGCATACTTTAGAAGAGATTTCCAGGTGAAGGTTAAGTCTGTGTTTTCCCGCATTTCTTCGCTTCAGAAAGTATGATTGAAGACACATGAGGGCATTCACGTATAACAAAATACGCCATTGCCAACATCCAGGAAAGTGTGCAACTGCACGAATTAGCAAGGAGATATACTGGACTATAGATTGAGTCGAAAACATGTTTGCATAAAGTCTATGTCCGTTACTCATTTTTTGCCCAAGGTTCTATATTAGTACACACGGACATACAGTCTGCCCCAATCGTAACCAGGCCAAAATCGGCATGGCGGGAGTCCGCGCCGCGAGGGTTTCGCGCCACATCTGCGGCTAGCTAGTCTGCTCTCTCCTCGATCTCTTCACTCTCTGCGACAGCGCGCGTATGCAGCGCAATCCCCTAGCGGTGCGAGCGCGCAAATTCAGCCGACGGTTCGGCCTGATCCCGATTGGGGCAGACTGTAGTCGCTTTCCGTACGTGCATATCATAGGAAAGAGATGGTGAGTTCTGGAAGAGCCAGGAGCCGACGTTGAAGGCAGTTGGGCAAAAAGTTGGTTTTGATTTTGTGCTTACCCGGTTCTATTCGCTATGCTGAATCCGAAAATGCACATTGGAGACCGTGAAAACGGCAAAAAACGGCTCTGACACAGGAGCGAAATCAGCAGGCTGGCCGGGTCCTTCCCACTGTAAGTTCACCTCCCAGCTTCCGGAGCGATCTTCTCGCTTCCGGTTTCAAGTCAGTCATTCGCACTTGGTCGGTAGCGATGATAGGACGACTAGCGGAATCGAGAAGACCGCTCCGGAAGCTGGGTGCGTGAATTCACAGTGGGAGGACTCCGCCCGCCCACTTACTATTTCCCTCCTGCGCTAGAGCCCTTTTTTGCCGTTTCCGCGCTTCCAGTGTGGACTTTCGGATTCAGCATGGCGAATAGGCCCGTATAAGCATAAAACTCAAAATAGAGTTTTTGTCCGTACATTGCCTCCAATCGAAAATACATCTATGGCCGGAAATCGAATTAGAAGAAGAAAACAGCATTGTTTCTCCTTATGTTCGAGCTGCCGTTGCTTTCTTAGAGGGATCCGCATTCCCAAGTCGAACATGCCATTGTGTCTGGCCATATTGATGATGAGAGTCGTTGAATCGACGAGATATTGCCAGTTAATGCTATATTTGATGCATATCGACTGCTTTCCCATTGCCCTTCCACAAACAGCTTCGTACATGTGCCAGCGGCGACAAAGAATGATACAACCAGCCATGGATAAACTTTTTTATTCGTTTTGGGGACAAAAAATGGAAAATAGCCGGTCCGCGGTAATTCATGGAAACATTTTGCTTATATATCCGAACAGCCTGAAAGCGATATTACCCTTTGTACAATGGGATTGGCGGTTGGAGGGCGGGCTTCGAGGTCAATCAAGGGTAGAAAGTGATCAGAAAGCACGCTCGCGAGAAAGACACAGACTACCTCGCGGGTGCGATCGGTCGCCTTCCAGCCGCCAACACCGTTAAATCAAATTGTAAAGGCTACTGCATGACGAAGCAGTATTAGTTGAGCGGGCGCGAACGCGACGCGTGCGTATTTATCTTCACCTTCAAAAATCCTCGCCTCATGCGCCTTGCGGCTAATAAAGCCGCGTTCGAGCTCAAAGGTATTGGGCCTTTGTCATGAAGCAGCCTATAGGTAACTACACCAGTGCGTCACCTCCGCTTCGCGGAGGTTCGCACTGGCTCCCTATCCGTATGCCTTTCTCATGTTCCGCATGAGAATGGCTTTGAAACTCACCACGCGATGCTGAGCATCACAAATGAATCGTAAACAACTGTTCATTTGTGAAGCATCTCCATGTCAGATCGGTAATTTTGAGAAAAAAAACCTTGTTGCAAGGAAACATATGCGAATATAAACGGATTACTGAGTTTATTTTGGTTTGATAATCGTCATTAGGATAATAGTCACCTTGGGCTACATTTCAGTGCGAAATCTTTCCAGTTTTTTCAAATAAAACCTTGCCAAATCGACTATATACGCGTTCATCACTTTTTGGCGCTGTTTTCGCAAAAAAGCAAACTTTTTGAGCACTTTTTGGGCTAGAATTCATGGCGCGCAGAGTTACTTGACTTTGACTTTATAACTTTGCAAGAAGTCGAAATAGCGACCCAGTTTTGCGTGCCAAAAGGCGCGTGGACCCGCGTTGGACGCGCAAATTTTGAGGGACCCGCTTATCGAACCGGTTCGTCCTTGTGCATGGTGAGCCTACACGCTGGCACGGTACAGTCGAGTAGATTTCCTGCTTAATATAGTGTCCCTGCAGACGCGACAACGCTGGGGCGTCAATAAATGCCTTGCGAGTTCCCGAGTTAGTGTTTTCCAGTGTTTTCTTTGCTTATTTCATGCTTCTTAGTTGATTCGTTGCTGATAAAGAGGAAAAGGGTAAGTTAAAAAGTAGTTTCTGTTTTCTGAAAAGTTCTATCATCGCATAATCGCAGATATCCACGTGGAAGCATTTCGCGTCTGTTCTTGTCTATTTTTTTGTCATTTCCTTTTCTTCTGTCACTTCTTCTTTCAAACCTCCTCCTTCTTGTGAGGCGTTTCTTTGAACGCTAGTTGGCTTGTCTTGCAGCAACTTCGGCTTTCATCCACAAGAAATAGCATTTTAATCAAGTACTTCATGTGATAAAGACAATAAGTCAATTGTAAAAACCCACTAGCGTTCAAAAAAGTACCTCACAAGAAGAAAGAGACAAAGTGACACAAAAATAGACAAGAAGCTGATGTGAACTGCTTCCATATGGATATCTGTGAATATGCGATGATAGAACTTCTCAGAAAACAGAAACTACTTTCTAACTTACCCTTTTCTTCTTTATCAGCGGCGAATCACCTATAAAGTATAGAATAAGCAAGGAAAACACTGGGAAATATTAGCTCGGGAACTCGTCAGGCAATTATTGACGCCCCAGCGTTGTCGTCGCGTCTGCAGGGACACTATATTAAGCAGGAAATCTACTCGACTGTATGTTGTGCAAAATTGCAGCCCGATAGCTTAGTTGCAGCTTCCTCTATGAATTTCGTGACAGACAGATTTACAGACAGACACACACACAAAAAAACAGACGGCCTTAGCGCGTTATTATAGTAGGATTGTTCTTTATCAGCTCTGTCCCCGTTGATCGTACAACACGAATGTGCCCAGTGACTTTCATTCCCTGCCGCAAGCGATTGTTGATCAGTTCTATTCCTCTCGAAGGTAGGATGATAGATGCCAACGAGAGTCTCGTCTAGGCGTTGTCTTCCGACTCGCAGAATTTAAAAAGACTATATGGTTCTAAACCGTGGACTTCTTTACGGTCTGGATCGCTGTGAACACTTCGGCAGGGATCCAAGGTGGTACTTCCCCAGTAAGAACAACGGCATCGGCACGGATGTTGATGAGCGGAAGAGGTTGTTGTAGAAGTTCTTCGCGAAGAGTCCTCTTAAGTCGTGAAGAATTCGGGTTTCGTCGTCGTCCAGTGGTGATATCAGCGGCACGTGTTATTCTCAGAGGTCCCCTTGGCACTTCTTAAAGGCAGCGTACACCCAAAACAAATGCAACAGATGTTGCAACAGCAACTGCAACTGCAATTGCAGCTTACGCTGTTATGGATTCGTCCGGAGGAGGCAGAGCGAAAGAAAAGGGGCAGCGTGAAAGAAAATTGAGGGGGGTTTTCTCCGCTCAGAAGCAACATTGGGAGACCGGACCAACGCAGTTGGTCTTCTTCTGGGCCCAGTATATACACGGTGTAGAAAGATCTAGGAAATTCGGTAACTCAAATTTTGGGTGTACGCTGCCTTTAAGATTTCATCTTCCTCAGGCTTATCCGGTATACTTGTCTCTACTTTCTAGGACCTTCCTACAAAACTGTCCTGCAACTAGCGCCTCCTGCGAAGCTGTTCTATCGTTGGCGGTCGTTGGCTATCAGTCACTTGAGATGGGTTGCATTCGCAACCTGTCTCGAAATTTTTTTTCTTTCGAGCAATTCCTTAGTGTCTTCAAGAAGCGCCAGTTCCCAGAAGTCATCGAGGCCACTATTCGCAGGCTCTTTCAGAAGCCGAGCGTAGTTGTATGTTGAGTTCTCCTCGAAGGGCCAGTTCAAACTGGAATGAACTTTTTCGACCACCGTTACAAGCATCTTCCTTCTTGCGACTATGGCGGGCAATCTTTTCGATTGAATCGTATACCTTCGCTCGCAGAGACGATGATAGCAGAAAGTGCAGAAGAATGGAACTACTGACAAGAGAAAAATACCGAGTCGCACATTCAGCAAGAACATGTATCATAAGCGATTCGTCGAACGCAAGGACTGCGGACGCATCCGTCTCTCTGATCAAGCGCTCTTTCGTTCCTCTCACCATCTGCTGTCTCTCCCATGCACGAACCATCTTGGGCAGACGCAACGTCGCCAGTCTTCGCGTGTCATGAATCGTGTATACCACTGAGATCCATTCGAGATATATCCCCTTATCCTCCCCTGTAATATCATGACTTATAATAAGCGGCTTAATCTGAAGTTGTGTGGAGTTTGTCCGTTACGAAATTACAGTGAGGAATGATTTACGATACTAAACATCATGTGAGGTTAAGATAGCGAGTATGGTTCATTTTTAACTACGGCTCACGTTGCAATAAACCGAACAATGATTTGAGAGACAAGCTCTCAGAAAGTGAGTTTACTGCGGTTCACGATGCCAGTGCGAACCTCTGCGAAGCAGAGGTGAAGCACTGGTGAACCAAATCAA